AGACAGTGGTTCCCATCCTTCCCAGTGCCACGGCGCTAACACAGCTCCTCATGTGGTGACTCCCAGCTATAAAATTATTTCATTGCTACTTCATAACTGTAATTTTGCTACTGTTATGAATTGTAGGGTAAATATTTTTGGAGATAGAGGTTTGCCATAGGGGTCATGACCCACAGGTTGAGAACTGCTAATCTAGGCTCTCAGCTCAGGGAATGGTGTTGCCCACAGTGAATATGTCTTCCTACCCCAACTAGTCCAGTGGTAGACACACCCGGAGGCCTATTTCCCAGGTCTCATCATGCTGACTATTGAAATTAACCATCACATTTTGTTTTGCTTTGGGGAAGGGCAATCATGGTCTTTGTCCTCTTTAATGTCAAAAGACAAAGTTCAGGTGCCTTTTGAGCCTCTCTGTCATCCAGCATTTGCCAAGTGTTTTTATGTCAACCATTCTTCATTGACAGTTACAGTAATTTGGTCACTAAAGATGAGCATGTTAACCACAGTGAAAGAAACTGTCACAGAATCAGTTAGCCACCTTTTTCTGAAGACAAAGATAACTGAGTTAAAGTTGAAGCTCAGCCATAAATGAGAGTGAATCTTCAACATGATGATAAAAATGGACTCTTACTATTTGGGGTTATGAAAATAGAAATTAGGAGAAATGCATAAGCGAATTACTTTTTACTTTGACAAAATTGCAGTAGTGGCATTCAGCAAAAGCTAGCGGTGTCAGAGGTAGCAACTGCATCTTTCTTTAAAAGTGTATTAGTCACTGATTTGCTAATTATTGTCAGGTAGAGGCCATGAAATATATCACTGACTGTGGTGATATATTATTTATGATTTATTAAAGCTTTCCTGAGGATTCAGAAAGCAAAGTTAGCCACAAGCCATAGAAGCCAGGCACACACCTTTAATTCTAGCAGCCAGAAGCTAGGAGGTCTTAATCCTAGGAGTCAGGATTAAGAAGTAGATAGATCTCTCTGAGTTCAAGGCCACCCTGGAATACATGAGATTCAATCAGTCTAAAGGAGTAACAGCTCACACATCTTTAATCCCAGCACTAGAGGGGTATAAAAGATAGAAGCAGGGTCTTCAGCATTCATTCTCCAGCCACACTGAAGATAGAAGTATTCATTCTCCAGCCATCTGAGGCTTGGTGAGAGCTCTTGAAGGCAAGATTCAGCCTGAGGTAGATGTAAAAGGCTAGTGGCCAGCTGCCTTGCTTTTCTGATATTCAGCTTGAAGTTTGAACCCCAGTATCAGTCTTTGGGGAATTTATTTAATCGTGTTATAACTGACAGACGGGTTGGAGGGAGGGACTCTGTAATTTAGCATCTTACTACACTTGGGAGTGAGCCAGGGATCTCGATCCAGTCTTAGTTTTCTGACAGGAGGGTCCTGTAGAGCAGGGAAAGTTCCTCCTACTTTTCCAGTCTGTTAGAGTTGAAATCCCATGACAGTGAATGTGTTACGTTGTTTTCACTGCTTGTCAGTAAGTTTTCAGAAGATACATAAAACAGTTTTCAGTTTATGTTGAAAAACTATTTTCTGTGATTGCACCTGAAGTGTGGGTAATTGAGGTATCTCACTGGTAATCCAGGAATTCCCATAGAAATTTACATTTGTGAGTATAAAAATGGCTACTTAGAAAGCATTTTGAGAAGGATCCTCTTGGACACTGTAGCAGCAGGCATGCAGAGCCTGCAGTTCAGGAGGCATCATTCTGTGAACTATGTTTCCCTTTTCATCTCAGTAACATTGTATCCCTCCAAAAGCAGGGACCAGGCGTGGTGGCACATGCCTGTAATCCAGTGCTGGTAAGTGGAGAAGGAGGATCAGGAGTTCAGGGCCATCCTCTGCTACATAGAGTTTGAGGCCAGCCTGGGCTACATAAAACCCCACCTCAAAAGCAAGACAGAAGACAATGACAAGGAAAAAAGAAAACCCTTAAGGATGAATCTGGTCCTTGCTGATGCTTTAGGGGAAAGGAGGAAGGCTGTTCGTCTTCCTGCTGGGCGCTTAGTTCAGTTGAGAGCTTACCGTGGAATCCCAGGCTTACAGCCTTGCTGTCAGTAGTAATAAGAACCCTCAGGACATGTGCTCCAGTGCAGTTGGAAATTAAGTGCTCCAAAGCACTTAATGTTAGGAGTTTATGTCATACTACATGCCATAACACATGATGTCAGGCACTTGTGTTATGCTACATATCATTAAGTGTGGTGTCAGGCACTCGTGGCATACCACACACCATAACGCATGTCGTCAGGCACTTGTGTCATGCTACATGGCATTAAGCATGATGTTAGACACTTGTGTCATACTACATCCCATGACCTCTTCTGGGTGGATTAAATGCTAAATGGGAAATGTGAGGTTGACTTAAATAAAGGAACCTGTTTCTAGAGAAGGAAGAGCACAATTCATGGCATCTGTAGTGCTTTGAATAAAAGTGGCTCCCATAGGCTCATACTGGTGTGGCCTTGATGGAAGATGTATGTCACTGGGGTGAGCTTTCAGGTTTCAAAAGTCCATGCCAGGCCTCAGGCCCAGGTGCTTGCTCTCGGGCCCCCCCCACCCCTGCCCTTTGATCAGGATATAGCTCTTAGCTACTGCTCCAGTGCCATGATAATAATGGGCTAAACCTCTGTGCTGGCTAGTTTTATGTCAGCTTGGCACAGGCTAGAGTCATTTGAGAGGATGGAACCCCCATGCCTCCATAAGACTGGGCTGTAGGCAAGATTGTAGAGCCTTTTCTTCATTAGTGATTGATGGGGGAGGGCCCAGCCCATTGTGTAGGTAAAACCACCCCTGGGCTGTGGTCATGGGTTCTATATGAAAGCAGGCTGAGCAGAGCCAGGAAGCAGCACCCCTCCATGGTCTCTGCATCAGCTCCTGCCCTGGGGTTCCTACCCTGTGTGAGTTCCTGACTTCCATCACTGGTGAACTGTTATGTGGAAATGTGAGTGAAATAAAGCCTTTCCACCCTAAGTCACCTTGGTCATGGTGTCTCGTCACAGCAGTAATAACCCTGACTAAGACACCCTCTGAAACTGTAAGCAGTTAAATACTTTGTTTTGTAAGTGTTGCCTTGGGCATGGCCTCTCTTCACAGCAACACAACAGTGACTAAGACAGTATCCAAAGGAAGAGCTATAAGGCTATTGAAAAATGTAAAAAAAGGGACTGGCATCACATATGATACAAAGTGAAAGCTCAGCTCGGCATGCCACTAGCAGTAGATTTTAGAAATAACTCAGATATGTGAAAGGATTGATTTCTAGTTGATCAATGCCATATATGAAGTAGGTAAAGTTTTTAAAAGATGGGAAGCAACATGAGGCAGGGTTCTAGGAACAGTCTCCCTGTGAGTGTCCATGGTATTATTTAGAGAAGTTTCTAAAAAGGGAAATTGTGTTAGGGCATAAAAAGTTAGTAGGGGCTGACAATGTGGCTTAATGTCCGAGAATGGCTTGCTGCTCTTAGAGAACCTGAGTTCAGTTCCCAGCACCCATGTCAGGCAGCTCTTAGTTGCCTGTGAGTACAACTTCAGGGGACCTTATACCCTCTGCACACATGGGACATGCACTCAAGATGGATACATATAAATAAAAATTGATCTTAAAAAGTCTTATTAAAATTTAGTGTGTTCTATGATCTAACAAGTCCATTTGTTAGAGCTTATGCCAAATAAATAATTAGATATGCATGCAAAGAAAGATGCCTACTTGTGAATATCCTTTTCTGCTTGTAACACTTGAAGAATGGGCATTATCTGGGTGAGGTTGAGTTCAATAGTGTATTGCTCTTTCCTGCTCTTTAATATGTATAACAAAAATGACATTAGAAAGGATTTTAAAATTCACTGATCAGTCAATGATATTTACTGTGCTTTGAGCCCATATCAGGTGCTGATGTAATTGTATCAAGTTTCTGTCATAAACCATGGTAAGAAAATAAAAGGTACATTATTATGTAAATTAAAAGGGACTTGGAAGTCCTTAGTGTAGAGAAATAAGAGAAGTTATTAGCAGTAAAGGTGAGATGCCTGGGTAGAGAGAAGAAAAGGTCAATGTCTGAACTTTCTAATTAAAGCTAAACAAGAAGGAAACATCAGTAGTGGCTTTCCGCCAGGTGTGGCTTCTCACTTTTCTCCTGCGAGAGCTTCTGAGGCGGTGCTGTCTTCCTGCTGCACACACAAAGGCTTGGAGACCGAGCCTTTTGTTCGTCCAGACTCACACACCCGTGACTGAGTGGAGGAACAGAATTTACCTGGGTCTGTCAGTACCCAGCCCTCTTCCCGCCACTGCCCACACTGTGATGCAGGACATTTCTTACTCTCTAAAAGAAGTCTGGTTTACCCACCAGTAGTTCCGGCATCTGCTTGGCAGAACTGTAGGGAGCACACTGACTTGTTAGGGAGCTCCTGTGTGATTTGCTGTGTTAAGTTCTAGTACAGGCGTCTGATCAGCCAGTTGTAATGTTGGCGGTCTTTTAAGAGTTATTGAATGGAGTAAATATAAAATGTTAGTCGCTGAGATGTCACCTTTCCAGTGCCACTCTGACTTGTCACTACTTTGCTGCTTAAGTCTTCTGATCAGGGATGCATTAGGAATTTTCACGTCAGTTCGGGTGAGACATGCTGCCAGCTGTGTATGATCGTGTTTAGCTAACAAGGTTGTCAGCATTTCAAAAACCTGATTTTTTGGATTTTTTTCCATAACAGAAATGAGATGCAGACTATTTCTTTATCAGTCATAACTCCCCCTACCTAGTCAAAAATGCAGAATAAAGAATAAAGTAGGTAGAAGCAAGGCAATTATTTCGAATTGTTTGTGCTCCAGAAGACAGTGAGTCAGCTACCCGTCCCTGCAGCCTGACAGGAGAGGTAACGGGGGATTTTATGATTTATTCCTTCCTATATGATGTGAGTTTTTCACAGTAAGTGAAACATTCTATTATCTAATTTTTGTGAACCTTTTGTTTTTGGATGCTTAGCTCACTGTTAATGAAGCAGCCGCTCAGCTCTGTGTGAAAGACAATGCCTTGCTGACGAGAAGAGATGAACTTTTTGCCCTGGCCAGGCAGGTTTCTCGAGAAGTCACCTACAAGTACACTTACAGGACCACCAGGTAAGTCGGGAGCAGTGCATTTGCACGTTGGGTAGGGGCAGAGTTTGAAGCATCGTTCATGGATAGACTGTGAGTGTCTCAGAAAAGGTAACATAACCAAATACAGAATTAAACACTGCAGTGACTTTTTGAAACATTGCTCTAAGAGATTTTTTAAGTTAAATTATTTTAACTGGCTCTTACAAACATTAAACAATGCATCAATAGGTACCATTTGGTATTTGAATACCTGTATACATTGTATGATGTTGAAATCGGTTGTTCAAGCATTTATCATGTGTTCTTAGTGAAGACATCCCAAAGCCTTTCTCTGAGAGTTGAAATAAATAAACTGTATATAGTCTATCCACAGCACTACTATGTCGTGGCTACTGGGCCGTCTGACCCTAACAGTGGTTTTTGTTTTTGTGTAATCCTCCTCTATGTCCCAACTTTTGAAAGATGCAGTCTCTAGGGCTGTAGTGCTCTGGCTGTGGTGTAGACATTCTGTCACACGGATCTTGACTTTGACTGTGACACTGAGGTCTCTACAGCCTTCCAGACACATGTACACACTCACTAACATCTGGAATTGGTGATAGCTGTGAGGAAGCTGGTTCCTTTGCAGGTTGTCTAAGAAAACAAGATCTCACTGGCACAGTCCCTTTTTGGGTGGATTCTTGGTTGTAGTCTTTGGTTATTGAAAATAATGCCACAATAAATAAAATTGTGTTTTGTCCATTCCAAGATATAATTTCTACATTTTAGTGTCTTTTTACAATGACATGTAAATTGGATTGACTTCTCATAATTTAGTTGACAAGAATTTATCAAGGTGGTGACTTAAAGAATGGATGTCCTAGTACTGACAGGTGCCATGTCATAGGTGTGTAGTGTGGCTCTGGCATAGCCAGGTCAGACTGTCTGAATTGTTGGGAGATAGGCACAACACATCTTATTTAACATGACCGTATGCATTCGTGTCAAATGACAATTTTAATCATTTTATCTGAAATGGTTCCTGCTGAACTCTTAAAGAGACACATTCCTTGATACCTATTTCTTTCTTTTCTTTTTTTGTTATGAAATACTGCTTTCTCTGGTAGAGGTCTTTGAGTTAGAGGCTTTAAAAAGTATGTAATATTGCCTACATATCCCCTGATATTAACTTGGAAATGATGAGACAGTCTCTTCCTAAATTATGTAAATGGTTACTGTATGTCATTTTTCCTGTTGTGGTTTCAAAATTAAATATTCCAAGGGAACATTTCAGACTGATATCACTCTGTAATAAAATTTGTTATCTTCTCAAGTGTTTTCTTTCTCCCTTCCCTTTAGGTTAAAATGTGGTGAAAGAGATGAATTGTCTCCAAAGAGAATTAAAGTGGAGGTATGGATGCATGTTATATGTTTGTATGCTAATAAGTTTGCTCCATTTATAAGATCACCAAGACTAATGTAAAATATACTTAGTGTAGGCAAAAAAGAATGACCTGCAATTTAGTAAAATATATATATATATACTCTTAAAATCAGTATAGAATGTTGTTATCCTGAAGTATCTGTAGTAATTCCAGTGAACAAACCAAAGAGATGGTTTTCTAAGGATGCATTTTAGATTTTATTATTTTTATGTATGTGGTATTTTGCCTGCATATATGTTTGTGCATCACATATGTGAAGTGTCCCATGCAGGTCATAAAAGGGCATTGGATCTCTAGACCTGGAGATCCATCCAGTTGTGAGCTGTCATGTGGGTACTGGGAATTGAACCCAAGTCCTTTGGAAGAGCAGCCAGTGTGCTTAACCACTGAGCCATCTCTCCTGTCTCCCCTGCTTCCCCAGGAGATTCTTAAAGTGAAAGTGTATTGACTAGATTGATAGCGAGTTTATTGAAGGTTGATTTACAGATCAGTGTCTTACAGACTTGAGTCTCCACTGGTCAGCCGTCTCATTAGCCTCAGGGCACTCAGGAGCTGGCTTGTGGTGCTTTGAGTTCTCCAAGGGAAGTGACAGTTGCAGAAACATCACTGCCCTTAAAACGTCCCTCGGGGAACCCTGGTTGAGACTGTTACTGTGATTTTCACTTGCTAGTGGTACGGTGAAAACTGAGGGAGAAACACAGTGCTTCTTTTAGGATTCCTCTAAGTTGAGAGTGGTTTCAGAACTGCCGTTCTTCAGTTTGGGTGGCATGCCTTTTCTGAGGCTAGTCTGCAGCCGGGTGGAAGTTATAACTGGGCAGCTCCTCTTCCTTCCTCCTCCTTTAGGTGGGGACATGGGCTCGTGCTCTGTGGTCCATCCCATTATTTAATTCCAGGTTCCAACAGATAAGCTGTGGTTAACAACTCCAAATTCCCATCACCACGTTATCCTTGCCTAGTGTCTGTGTGGCAGAGTCCTTTATTGGTACCGAGTCAGAATTACCTTGTAAAAGCAGATTTTTATCTTGCGTAAGCCCTCAGTGGCTTTCTGTCCCTGTGAGGAAACCTAACCTGTAGTCAGCTCCAGCTTGCTTCTCTTTGCTGCTTTGCACGGCTGTTCCCACCCGCAGAGACTGACCAAGCTCAGTGTGTACCGCATTTACCACCGCCCCTGTTTTATGCCTGAGCTTTTACTCCCTCGCCTCCAGTTCAGGGCATGGGGCTCGTGTCCCCCAAATCAACCTCTGGCTGTGGTTCAGCGTGTTTCAAACCACATGTGACTACTTGGAATTCCTGAACGTTTGTGTTTATTGTTGGTCTGCCCTGCTGGCGAAGAAAGGGATCTAACCTGTGTGCCTTCGACTGCATGACGAGTTGATAGCATGGGTTTGCTTTGAACAGGCACGGATAACAGCTGTTGGATAAAACCGTGAATAGCTGTGAATGAGTATTTGTGATCCCTTAAAAAACGTTATCCTCACGTAAGAATGCTCAAGGAAGTATTTTGTTCCCAAGAGACAGTTCTCTTTTAAGTTGTGTCCCTGTTCGTCATCTTGCCCCGATACTCGCTGTAAAGGTACTGTTTGAGACGGGTCAGTCTCAGATACCACTCAGGAGGTTTGCTGACATTGTCTAACAGGCTATGTGGAAAGATGGTGAGACAGTTAATCATACTGCACACCAAGATCATGGCTGCCACCACTGCCAGAGTACAAGTGATGCAGCCACTGCCCAGTCTGCTTGTGCTGGAGCATTTGAAGAAGAGAAGGTTCGGATCTAACCAAACGATGACTGCTGCCGGGCAAAAGCCTACCTGCCCTTTTTCAGCACTGGATCTCAGTGTGGTTATGACTCGGTCTGCTCTTCATGTAAGCCCAGCTGCTCCACATGGAAATGTGTGGTCGTGGCTGATTGGAGCTGCCAGCGTTTCTTGACCGTCTCAGTGGTCCTGAGCTGCAGCTTAAGTTCTGTCTGCAGTATTTGGGGCTATTACATTATCTGTGAATTTTTAATTCCTTGAAACACATCTCACTGGGATAATTTAAATAGTTCTGTATGATTGGCTCATCATTTTATTAGGGTCACAAAGCCACTTGAATAGTTTTTGATTCAGAATTAAAACGATCAGTTTTGCCTTTTCCTGTAAAAGTTCTAATCTTTCCCAAGAAAGCCAGTGACTAATTCACTCAAGTTTCTGTAACACAAAAAAGTAAAAGACCCAGAGACTGATGTCGGGGCTCAAACTTCAAGGTGAAACTCAGAAAAGCAAGTAGCGGGCCACTAGCTCTTACTGCTGTCTCAGGCTGAATGGGCTGATCCTGCTACCTCTCCTCAGCATGACTGGAGGGTCCTCAGCGTGACTGGAGAATGAATGCCTTATACCGCATACTGAAGACCCTGCTTCTATCTTTTATAACCCTCTAGTGCTGGAATTAAAGGCATGTGATCTTTATTCTTTTAGACTGACTCAATCTCGTGTATTCCTGGGTGGCCTTGAACTCATAGAGATCCATCTGCCTCTTAATCCCGAGTCCTAGGATTAAAGGTGTGTACCACTATCTCCTAGCTTCTGGCTGCTGGGATTAAAGGTGTGTGCCCAGCTTCTATGGCTTGTGGCTGACTTTGCTTTCTGAATCCTCAGACAAGCTTTAATAAATCATAACTATCATTACAAGTCTTTTTACAACTCATGTACATCCTAGACGCCTAACTTGTTCCTAGAAATAAGAGGAAACCTTAGCTTGAATTTAGGACAGTGATTCCCTTTGTATTGTTTTGTTGTTTGTTTTGCTTAGTTTTGTAAAGGCACCTAGGAATTGCTGTCAGTTACTTCCAAGTGTGTCCTGTATGCAGTATGTGTTGTGACACGTTTCACAGTCTGTGACCTGGCATAGGCCAAACCTGGCTGTGTTCTGAGTCATGTTTGGGTGTTGGAGCTGCCCATGTGCTTCTGGAAACTGATCCTGGAGCAGATAGTATTGGCTGTCTGGGGTCTGTTTCCTGGAATACGTGTCACCAAGTAGTAGTGCCTTGCGAATGCCTGTCTTCCATGAGGCAATTCTGAGAGGGAGACTGTGGCATGTGAGTGGGGGCTCCGTTGGGGAGGTATCGTCTGAGCTGGGTTTTAAAGAAGGTAGGAATGCCAGTGGGCATTCAGGATGGTATTGTAAAGATCGACTGAGGGGAAGACAAAGACAACAAAATACTAATCATGTTTACAAAAAACGATAGGTAGAAAAACTTGTCTAGAGATGTGCCTGGTGCAGAGAACCTCATAATGAAACCTGAAGCCAGGGACATTTTAGAGAACCCTATGAACCTGCTTTACTCTCCCTTTAGGAAACTTTTTTGTGCTTCCCAGTTTTTTCCTTATCTGAAGATAGTAACATAAAAATAAACCTGGGACAGACTCCCAGTCGTCTAGGCCAAAATCAACGCAACAACTGCTTCTCCACCTTTGCTCCAAAATCTCTCCCAGCTGCCAGGAAGCACACACACAAGTTGTTCATTTGTTTCCATGTGTAACAGAGTGGCTTTGTTTGCAATGAACAACAACAAAAAAAAATGAAAAGCCGGGGGAGACAAAAGTGATGTCAGAGTAATTTGACATGTTAAGGAAGGAGACAGTTTTGCCTGCCGCTATCGGTGCTTGGATGTATGTAAAGCAATGTTGTCTGTGTCCAGGGCAGAAGATCTCTTTCCATTGCTGACCACTGTGTCCTGATCTGCACCTGAAGGGTTCGGTGGGGCGAATCGTAAAACACCTGCCTGGCTTTTCTCCCCTGAGAACATACCGTTCTCCCATAACAATAGCTGTAATTAGATTCTCTCACACGTCAACATACACTGTATAGAAATATCTCTTCTCTCCTTAAATGGTGTAACCACTTTACAAGGTATGTTAGACTGTTAGACGCTAAACTATGTAGAGATTTTTAGCATTATTTCTTCAATTTGGAGATTAAATGATAACCATAGAGAGAAACCCTTCCCGCTTGGGTGAGCCTTGGGGAAGGCCCCAAGTGGACTTGGGCCTCCAGGGAGAGCCCTTCTCCAAGCCCTGCGTGTTAGAAAGTCAGGCTCGGTAACACTGCAGTAAGCCCACCTTTGGCTGAACGACAATGAATTCTGTGTTGACATTCTTGCTTTTCACTAGGGCCCCCAAAGCATCCAGCTGTGGGACAGTCATAACAGTGCTTGTTTTCTAATTCAGGCTATGATATGCTAGTCCCCTCTCGACATTTATCACAAACCCTCTTGGGTGTGTTCTATGATGTCCATTTGACAGCCACCGCAGACTCAGAGTTGCCATGTTGCTTATCTAGGGGAAGAGTCAGGTTTCCAGCCTATGTCTTACACCTGAACTTCAAGCAGTGCTTTTCTGGGTGCTAATGGGTGTTCACAAAACACCTCACAGACATGGAAAGGCACCGCTGGGCTTAGAACCTCCCAGTCTGTGTTTGTAAATGTGCATACGGGACTGGTGGCCTCTGAAGAAGAGGAATGGCGATTATTTTCTAATCCAAGGATGACTGCCTGATTAAACAACTAAGTCTTCAGTAGAAAATTTAACAGTGGTAATTACAAAATATATTTACATGAAAGGGAGTACTGTGTGGTGTGCTTCCTGTTTAGAATGAGTGTAGAAGGTAGGGAAGATAGAGGGTACCCATACAAGTTAGTTGATGTGTTTATACTCTACCTGTAACAGGCTAAGATGGCTTGACAAACTAATCATAGAACGTGAAGAGTCAGGAGCCAGAATCCCTGGCTGCCGTGTCTCCGCTTAAAAATGTAAAATGATGGTTAAAAGTAGAGTCAGTTGGTAACTGGTTTAGAACATACAGGGTTCCTTGAACAAACGGTCATTATCTCTAGTAATGACAGTGTCATAGAAGCTTCTAAGAAAGAGAGGTGGAGCCCAATCCTGGCTGTCTGCTGTGTGTCTTTTCCTTGTGAGTTTTCCTTCTCCAGCATTGCTAGAAACAGGACAGGAGTGAGAGGCTGTGGAGTACAGAAACAACTGAGTGGAAGAAATGAATGTGTTAATGGAGCCCAGGAAGTCAAAGAACTAGGTTTGAACAAGAGGAAACATCTGCCAGCTGTTCCAGAGGGGCAGGGCGGGGCGGGGTCAGCATATCCACCTACACCGTGACTAAGCTTGTGAAAAGAAAGCTGGTGAGTCTGATGTGGGCTCTTCTCCCTGGATCAAAAAAGCAGAAGCCGTCCAATCTGCTATTCATACAGAAAGCGTGAAGAGAGAAAAGGGAAAATGCACATGTGGGGTTAAGAACATCTGCTGCTACACATCACTTCAAGACAGCTGGGCAGCGTTTAAAACAGCTCGCTGGCACTCGGTGGGAAAGAGAGAAAGCAGCGAGGGTGGGAGACCAAAGGGGTGAGACTAATTAGGTCATGCACGGCCTCCAAACATATATCTTATTTTCTCAGTGCCGAGACCCCGAGTTTCATCACCAAGGGAACACTGTGATTAATGGCAGCAGCCATCAGTGTGACATGGAGATAAATTGCTCATAGCATGGTACAGCTGGTGCCTAGAAAGAAAGCTACAGAGACCCAGAATAAGTCCTGTGCCAAACACAGTGAAGGAGACCAGGCTATTCCTCTACCAGTGTCTTGGGGATGTCCTCCCTTTTGTTCTCTGTCATACATTCCAGATAGCTTGTTTCTCCTTGTTAACGATGTAGCACTGCGCACTTCCCAGAAAGCTTTCACGTGCAGGGTTTGGAGGTCCCCTCCCCAGCTGTGCAGTATTCTCATGGCTGAATCGTCCTGACCATGAAGGCACTCTGTGACAAGATTTGCCATCTGTATTAGTTCATTTAATGCCCACAGATCTCCCCTGGGCCCCTAAAGCAGGTGATGTAATCTCTGCGGAAAAATTGGGAACATTGTGAATAATGAGGTTGGCTTTCTGAGACCACACATCTGGTCCTAACTTGAGCAGACTGGCTAGCTTCTTCCTCCTTCAGAAGCCTCTTCAAGCAGTGCTTGAGAGACTGGAGCATCTGGGGCACCGGCAGCTCTAGCCAAAGCCTGTCCCTGAGCTGGTAAATGCTCTGAGTCTCCAGCTCCAATCCCTTTGTCTACACTCACTACACCTCTTACCTGCTTTGTGTGCAGCGAAGTCCTTGCCTCCGACTGAATCCATCCATCTTCTAGTTCCCCTGCTAAGCCATGCGTGGCCCTGCAGCCTGTATTGAAGCCAATGTCCCCACCGCACTTCCAGGCCTCTGTTCTGTCTTCGCCACAGGCACTAACTAGTCTCAGCTGTGTTTAGTGTGACCTTTCTAAACCCAGGTCTTCCGAGAATGTCAGTGGCTTCTCTATCCTGAAGAGAGTATTTACCCCATCTGCTTAGGATGAGATTCAGATGGTGCAGCAGTGTGTGGGGCCCACAGAATCTGGCCATGCGTCTCTAACTTCGCTGCCACTCTCCCTTGCGGCATTTCTGACAGTGGCTATAATAAAGTGCTGTGCAGGCTGTTGCTTTTGCCTGCAGGCCTTCGTATAAGCTGCGCCTTTTCCTGAAGAACTCTCTCCTTTAAGCGCCATGCCCTCTGGGAGCCTCCTAAGTGTCTGGGGCTCTGCCGATGCCCTCTGTGGCCTGCTTGTCTGTTGTGCCCTCAGGTGCTTCTGGTGTTCCCCTGTGGTTTTCACCAGTGTAGCCCCCTACCAATATATCCAGAGTTTTCTTGCTGGTTATTGTTTTAAGTATGGAGTCCCCACTCATGCTCAGATAGCTATACTGTGTAAATATCCCTAACACCATATATATATCAAGAACGGTAAGTTACCTACACTGGCTTGTTTTACTTTGATTAAGCCTGGTGGTTTTTTTGGCTAATCTGTCTAAATGGCGGAAACATTTTCCATGTGTAACTCCTATGTGCCAAGTACTGAGCTAAGTGTTTTCTATACATTTTTGTTCCTCTCTAAATGATTGTATAAAGTAGCCTCATGACTGCTACAGTGTCCCTCCTCAGATGGGACAATACCCCCGGGGCAGAATAGTCTGCTCTGCACACCAGAAACAGCAATGGGATTAGATTTCAAACCCAGCACAAATCATAGAGCGGAAGTCAGTTCTCAGGAAAACCAGCTGTGACAACCCTTCTTCCCGGTCATGTTTCAGAGGTGTCTTCACATCAGGAATGTACGAGCCCAGGCTCAGAGCTAGTGTCAATAGCTATAGACTGTGGGAAGCTGAGTGTCGTTGGTGAGAGCTAAGAAGAAAATGCCCGTGAAGTGGGAACCAGTGCAGTTGGGGCTCCTGTCAGCCAGCAGGGCTGTTGCTGCGGACTCCCTAATGTTTGTTCTAAGTCCTCTAGCTTGAGCTTAAAGGAAGGTTTGCTCAAGTTGAGGCTGGAGTTCTAGGAGCAAAAAAAAAAAAATTCTTAGAAGAAAAATGTACTGCTGTATACTCTTACGTGAAGTTAACTGTAGCTCACCTACTGATTATAGTCTGTACATTCCTACGGGGCAGCATCTTCAGTACTCAAGAAGTACTGTTGGACTCCCATCGAACAATGTGAGGTGCCACTCTCACCCTGAACTCTTGGGGAAGGGTCTAGGCCCTGCCCTATATGAAATGACAGACTATGGACACCCCCATGGAGGGCCTCACCCTCCCTGGGGGAATGAGGGGATAACAGGGGGGGGGGTTGGGGGGAGGGCACGGGAGGAGGGGAGGGAATGGGAGAGGGACCTGGAACTGACTTGTGAAGCAACCTTGTTTCTTATCTAAATTTAAACTGGAAAATAAAAGAAAAAAAAAGAAGTACTGTTGGATGGGAAGGTGCATAAAGCTGTTCTCAGTGTCAATTATTCACTCTTTACTACCAGTCTGACTTCAAAGAAACAAACTGATGATTCGCTCATTGTGGTTGTGGTGCCTGTAATCCCAGCCTTCAGGAGCCAAGGCAGAAAGGTTATAAGTTCAAGGCTAGTCTGAGCTACATTGTGAGCTCTGGGTCATTTTAAAATTAAAAACAGATAATTAGGTGTTACTTAGGAAATTAATTTGGTAGATTAAATATTTGAAAGCGTGGCACATAAAGACCACCATGGGAGACTGTTTTCAGCCACCATCTTGTATCTCAAATAAAGTAAAATATTTTTATTACAACACCACATAGTTTTCTACTCAGTTATTGTAACAAATTTGGTTTTTAATTGTTAACCCTGTGTTAGAAGTATGTAGCTTATCCAACCAAGGGGAAGCTGCATTGGTAATAACAGTTTCTGTAAGGAGACCGTTAGTGGCCTTCCTTAATTTTACTAAAGTCATCGTGGTTGCCCATAGGTTTTATATTCATGCAGAACAGCAAACAGCTAAAAGAAACTTGAAAGAAATGGTGGGTGGGTTCACCCAGACACACAGGACCTGACATGGTGGGTGGGTTCACCCAGACACACAACCTGAACCGCTGTCGCTGAAGGGTTGCCTAGGCATAGAATGAATGCCCTGCAAAAAGACCCTAGTCCATAAAGTGTGAACTAGGTTGCTGTTTTTGCTTAGCAGGTCCCATGTGCTAAGGGTGTGATCCATCGTCTCTTCCCATTTGGTCCTCTCAGCTGCTCTAGTAGATTCTCTTGTCTTCACCCTCCCAGGCTGGTCTCAAACTCACAGAGATCCACCTGCCACTGCCTCCCAAGTGCTGGCATTAAAGTCGTGTGACACCACATCCTGGTCTTATTTACTGATTTTCTAAAACTGTCTTTTGAACTTTAGTGCAGTCGAAGTCACAGTAACACAGAAACTTATACAATGGTAATGTGTACATTAATTTTTTGGATGTCAAGACAAAAATAAATTGACAAGAAAACATTTTTAAAGGTCCAGCAGTACCCAGGGCCAGCAGGGAAAGCCATACTGGTTAAGACAGATAAACCAATGAAGGACTTTAACCAGTGGTTCTCAACCTGTGAGTCATAATGCCTCTGAGAGTTCAATAACCTTTCCACAGGGGTCTCTAAGACCACAGGAAAACAGATGTTAGCATTATGATTCATAGCAGTAAAATTACAGTTACAAAGTGGCAATGACAATTTTATGGTAGGGTCGTCACAACACAAGGAACTGCCTTACAGGGTCACAGCATTAGGGAAGTTGAGGACCACTGCAAACAGTGATGGAGGACAGGGAAGATGATGTCCTGGTGGAGGGTTCTTCCTCGATGTTTTTCTTCTGAATGTTGAAACTGTAGGAAAATGCTATTTCCCTGGAAGTGTATCACAGGGCTTTTCATGAAACCAGAAATTAGGAAAAGTTAGGACACTCTGAAGTGTCCACTGTGAGCAGGTGGTTAGTCGGATGCTGGCTGAGATGTTTGTTGTCAATCTATGTGGTCACAGAGTTCACTTGCCCCTGCTGGCTTATGATGGTGGTGATTACATTTCCCATCTTGTTCATTTGTGGCCTTACTGTAGAAAACAAGGCGTGGTAGGTAGCTTAAGACTGATGTACTCTACAACCTCAGCAAATCATTTACTACTGAAGATGAAGTGTTGTCTTTGCTTTATGTTTTAACAGTCTAAATATCCAGGCCCTGTTTTCTGCCCACAGGACGGATTTCCAGACTTCCAGGAACCTGTGCAAACACTCTTCCAGCAGGCCAGAGCCAAGAGTGAGGAGCTCGCAGCCCTCAGTTCACAGGTAACCTGCAGGGGACGACTCAAGGAGATAGCCTTAGGCTGGAAATAGGGGGCTGCTTCAGCCAGTTGCAGATCGAGGGTTCTGAGGATCAAGTTTGTTTCTGGTTATTGTTAAAATGTCTGCCCCACAGCTATATCAGTATGGTGGCAGGAACAACGTGGTTTCATTTGGTTCTTGAACAAAATCTTAACTATAGGAAGTATTAGTATTTTAGTATTGGGGGGAAAGCAGTCATTCTCATTATGGCTATGTACAACATAGTTCTTAGGTAAAATAGCATGAGATCTCAGTAACATATTGTCAGCATTGTAACTCATATCTCACTTAAAGCCTCATTGAAGAATTGCTAAATTAGTGTAGCTTGGATAACTCTATTCATTTCTGTATATATGTGAGGAGTGCGTGTTTGTGTGACTGCACAGGGGTGCAGGGGTGTGTGCACCTGTCTGTAGAGCCGGAGGAAAGCCATGCATGTCATTGCTCGGGAGCCATCCCATCTTGGTTTTTGGATCTTGTTGGGCTTGATCTTGTTTGTGTTGCTGCTAAGTCCCAGGGATCCACCTCTGCCTGCCTCCCCAGTGCTGGGATCACAATGCATCTCCATGCTCAGTTCTTTGTGTGGGTTCAGGGATTTGAATGTGGCTTCTCAGGCTTGTACAGCCAGTGCTACCCCCCACACACACATTTTAGTAAATTTTTAACTATGTATGTGCTCAGAAATGGACATTTCCAAAGTCCGTGTGTGAATGTCCCTTTTAGACAGCGCTGCAGACCTGTTTGCATTCACATTTAGTATTGCCCAAACCTGGTGACCGGAGAGAAAGAGAGTAATACTGCTACCATCTCGGAACGGCTGGCTGAAATGTCATCGGTTAATTGGTTGAAATTTCACGTGAAATGAAGTCATTGTTACCTTTGCTTTGGTTTGTGCACATTTAGAAAAGTAGTATGGGCATGCTTCCTTGTTATTTAATTCTTTATGCGTTCCATCTATTGATTTTTAAAATTATGAATCATGCCTTTTGTAACCAATTTTATATAGAAGAATTCTTATAGTACTTTTATATAACATGGTAATGAATCATATCTGCATTTTGACTATTACTTCCTTGGCAAATGTTGTAGATGCACTGCTTTGAATATCACACGCAAGTAATTTAGAACATTGAGTATGAAAGGAGCCTCTGAAATGCACACGGAGATGACTTTGTATGTCACACACCAGCCTTGTATTTTAAACATGTCCGTTTATGTTGGTGGGGAAATGCCGCTTCTCTCTGGGGCGGAGGCAGAGATCCTTGCTGGCACGGATGCTTCTCTGCATAATTTGCATTGTTTAATTTTGGTGGGAGGTGTGTTTGTCTTGTTCTTCTAGACAGCCGTTTTACACCTTTTCTCCTCCAAGCAGGCTGTCATCATAGCAGAGTCTGGGCAGCGCCAAATCCTAAAATAAAATGCCAGGATTTCACCCTGTGTTCCAAGTAGTTGACAGCAGATGTAGCTGGTGCTCTTGGGATCTTTATTTTTATTTATTTATTTTAAGAAAGAAGGGAAATCCTTTAAAAGACCCAGGACCTTGGAAAACAAAGTGAAGGTTATGCTGTTCTTGAGCTTACATGGGAGTCTCTTTATGGGACTGAAGTAAACCTGAGCAAACTCACATGACACAGACATTTAGTCATATTTGTGGAGGCAAGCATACCATAGGAAGTGTGAGCTCATTTTAATAAATACTAAATACATTTGCTGGAGTCTCAAATTGGCATCTTTAGGCTCTTAAGAAATCTAGACTGCTGTAGTTATTGGTTTTATCTTTGCTTTACTTTCTAGCAGACTGAAAAGGGGATGGCAAAGCAGATGGAGCTCCTGTGTGCCCAGGCCAGCTATGAGAGGCTGCAGCAGGAGAGGAGGCTGACGGCGGGGCTCTACAGGCAGAGCTCCGGGGAACACAGCCCGGATGGCCTGCCCTCTGATGGCTCAGATGGACAAGGTATGCCTCTGCAGTGACCCAGCCTCTAGAGCCAGCACCGTGTACCTTTCAAAGAGAAATGGGGAGAACAGACCAGATTTAAATCAGTATTTTGAAGGGATTATTTTATCTCTGTGAAAGTCTGTTTTTAACTAGTTCCTTTCAAAGGAAAGTATTCATCTTGTATATTTTCATTTCTGATATCCTAAATTTTATTATTCCTTTACTTTAGTTTGCACATGTGTCTTGTAGAGGCTTGGTCAGGATGGAGATGTGAGCATATAGGCCAGTTCCCAAGGAAACAGAGTCTATCAAAGACACTTCTTAGATGGAATCTGTTTCCTTGTTTTGCCAGGCATCGAACCCAGGACCTTTTCAAAATGATCAAAACATCTTTCTTTAAATTTCAAAACCAATTTGTTCAAAATGTATAACATCTGTTTCCTAAGAGAATGTGGTGGCTATTTCTAAGACACACAGAACACAACTCCATGTTAGAAAGCTCAGTGACTCATGAGTATTTTTGATATGAAAATTCTTTTACTTTTGTCATGTCTTCAGCATGAAGAAAATCCCAAGTCATTGTTATCCACTTATTCAGAGGCTTTTTTTGAAGTGTTTTCTATATGCTAGGCATGCCTCTAAGCCCAGAAGGCATGACAATTCAAAACCCATCCTTGTTCGTGTACAGCTTAGCTCCAAGCAGAGAGATATGCCATGAAACCTGCAGTTTCAAATGTCACTAAACAGTATGCCAAGGGAAAACAGTGTTTTCATATTGTCTTATTTTATGTACTATTCACTTTCTAGCAGGTGAATCCCACGGTTGGTAACCCCTCTTTCCAAGTGAGACCCCATCTTTTTAAAAATGCTTTCAGTTCATACAAAGCAGCAGGTTTTGATGTGGCTTTTCCTGCAGACTTTGCTCTTAGTATCCTCCTCCCCCAGGACCGTCCTCCTCCAATAGCCCCTTTCATCTCACACGTACCGGGTTACCCTCTTTTTGACCTTGCCCTCCCTAAAATCCCTTCTTCCCAGATTATTGTGTCCCTTTCTAGTTTCAACACACACACACACACACACACACACACACACACACACACACACATCTAGGTTCAACATACAAAAGGAAATGTGGTGTTTGTCTTTGTGAATTTGGCTTATTTCACTTGACTTAATACATCATGATTCCCATCTGCTTTCCTGGAAGTGCTATCATTTCACTTTTCTTTACGGCTGAATAAAACTCCCCTGCGTATCTTGTGCATCTGTGCCTCGTGTTCCTTATCGTTCATCTGCTGGTGGACATCTGGACCTGGTTGATGTCTTAGCTGTTGTGAACCGTGCAGCAATAAGCAAGTGTGTGCATATCTCAGTGGGATGCTTTCTGGCATCCTGCAGGCATGCACACAGAAGTGGTCGAGCTGGCTTATATGGCAGTTCTGTCTTTAGCTTCTTGAGGCCCCTCCACGCTGATTTCCCGTAGTTTGGCAGCACCAATGCATGCTCTCATCAGCACTGAATAGGGGTCTTCTTGCCCTGCATCCTCTCTGGCGTCTGTTTTCTCAATGGTAGCCATTCTAACAAGGGTGAGGCAGAATCTGTTGAGCAGATTTTCAAATATTTGGAGAGCATGTATATTCCCCCCCTTTTTTTTCATTAGTGCAGCTACTTGCAAGGTTAGAGGTTTTGGTGATTAACTTCTGCACTCCTTTATATGTCCTGGATCTTAACCCCTTGTATGGTGTGTATTGCCAAAGATTTTTTTCCCCCGCCCAAATAAGAATAGCATGTTAGCAAGCATTCTCTAGCAGTGGAATGAAATATTGCCTGAGACCATGACACAAGAGTAAAAGGAAGGTTTTCTTTCTAAAACATGACAAAAACATTTCAGTTGAGGTCTTTAACTTCTCTGACCTTTCTTAGTAACTAAGAATGAACAGTTAAGCAAACACAATTATGTTAAGGTTTAATGGAGCTTAACTTATGACACTAGTGTAACTTACTGCGGGATGGCTAATGTAATGGATAATATAGCATCATGTATAAAGCATTTTGCTATATCTGTACTAATATTTTCATGGATTGTGCTTAAAAACAAAACTATAATTGGTCTGAAGCCATCGCTGCCTCTGCTCTCAAGCGTGTGACTAGGTAAGGGCGCACTTACTGCATAGTTGCAATGCTAAGGAAGACGTTGTACAGAGGATCTGTGTTAATTCAGTGCATCTAGAAATGTTTGTCTCTTGTTTGGTTCCTCTTAGCTGTACAGACCCCAGCAGTTTGTACACTCGAGGTGCTAGTGTTAGAGACTTCCCTTCTAAGTTGTTATCTTAAATGTCTTTTCTCAGTTATTATACATGCGTCACTGCTTCTTGACCCTTCCCATTCTCAGAAGGTGTGTTCCGGCAATTTGTGAACATTTATCTACAAAATCAAACATAAACAAATAACAAAAAACACTGGGAATGTTTTAAATGTTACTTTGTGTTTTGTTTTTCTTTCAAAGGAGAAAGACCTTTGAATCTCCGAATGCCTAATGTACAGAACAGACAGCCCCATCATTTTGTGGCCGATGGGGAGCTAAGCAGACTTTACTCCAGTGAGGCGAAGTCCCACTCATCAGGTGAGAATGCAGTCTGTGATCAGAGAAAACCCGGGTAACATTCCCTCAGCTCTGAGTTCTGCTCTTCCCTTCCTGTCCCCACTGAACAGTGTCACTTGTCAGTTCCCCTTGGAAATTACAGATTACCAAAATATCAGCTAGCCTGTTTGAGAATGACAAGGAAGAGTAATGGAGGTTAAGATGCTTGGACTAGCCATTGCATGGATGGCCGCTTGTATATAGCTCAAGCTGAGTAATAAATGGCTCTGATGAGTTGGGCGGGCATTCCTTTGCTGACACTACTGTGGTATGATGCAGGTGTGCTCTGCATCTCTTCTCGTGCTGAGGAAGCCTTGTGCACCTCAACCTGACTTTTCATGCAGACGCATTTTAGGGTGAAGTTTTTTTTTAATTACTTTAATTTTAAATAGCTTGCTTCACATGTCAATCCCTGTTCCCTCTCCCTCCCCTCCTCCCGCACCCCTCCCACCATCCCCCCAGCCTCCCACCCTATCCCCATTTCTTTCCACATAGCGGATATCTAGAGTCTGTCATTTCACTTAGGGCAGGCTCCAGGCACTCCCCTAAGAGTCCAGGCTGAGAGAGGATTCCTCTTTGTGTTATGGACACACGAAGTTCATTTGTATGCCAGGGATAAACACTGATCTACTGCTCAGGACCCCATAGGTTGCCCAGGCCTCCTCACTGACTCTCACACTCAGGGAATCTGGATCAGTCCCATGCTGGCCTCCCAGCTATCAGTCTGGGGTCCAAGAGCTCCTCCTTGTTCAGATGGGCTGTCTCTGTTGGTTTCGCCAGTCCATTCTTTGCCAATTTGCTCATCGCTCCTCTCTCTCTGTCACTGGGTTCCATGGGTTTAGTTCAGTGTTTAACTGTGGGTGTTTGCCTCTGCTTCCATCAGTCACTGGATGAAGGTTCATGTTTGTCTTTTGGTGAAGTTTTCTGGTATTAACTCAAATGAAATGAATCACACAGCATTGGTTAGTAAATGCCAGCACCACTCGGGAGAGTCTGGTATCATTCAGTCTTTGAATAAAAGAAATTTTAGGAATCATTTGATGACAGTCACAGATTTTAGAGATGGGGAAGCGGAGACCAAATTGGACAGTTTACTGTATTTGTTTGTTATGTCAGTAGGAACATGACTTTGCAGCTGACCGTGGATTGAGGATTAACTAGGAAGTTTTGTCAAGAGAGTGTGTGTCTTTCTGTTCATGTTTCCAGGAGCAGATGCTAAAATACTGATGTGGGAAATAATGTCCTGTGCTTGTGGCCTTTAGTCCACTGTTTCACATGGACTGTCACAGAGGTTGACAAATGAAACTATCCTAAAATGACACCAATTTGGTCTCCTATTTTCATCGATATAAAAAAACAAGCTCTTCCTTCAAGCTCTTAACAAACTAACATGCTTTCTACAACTCATATTGCTTTGAAGACCCTACATAAAAAACACTGAAGTTACAGTGACCATATTTGTCTCCCGTGGAGACACACTTGGTATCTCTGCAACATGGAGATTTAGTTAAACTGGGATTTTACATGGAACAGAACAAAGGAATACCTAAGGAAGAGTTTTTGTTTCTTTTTTTTAGATTCAATTTTAGCATTTAAACTTCTTTAGTTTTTTGAGAATTTCATACAATATATTTTGATCATTCCTTCCCCTCCCACAGTTTCTCTCAGATCCTGCCTGCCTCACTACTCACCCAATTTCATGTTCAAAAAGAAAAAACAAAACGAAAGCCCACCTCCACCCCCACACACTCACAGAACAAAAACCCCTTGGAGTCTGATTCCTGTGTGATTGGTATGGACCATTGTTAATCCATTGGAGAATATTTTCTTTAAAGAAATGCATAGAGATGGCACAGACTCGATGCAGTAAGACCAGGTGACCTGGGGTTTGTTCTTTCTGCTTCTCATGAATTCATCTGTAAAGTAGATACTCCACAGGGCCATTCATTATAAGCCATAGACAAGAGAGTGTGAGCTGTACAGCTGGAAAAAATGAAAGTATTGTGACTGTTTTTCTTACTCCTAAGTTCAATTTGAATTCCTTTCTGTATAGAGAGGTTGCCTACATACAGTGAGCTGTCTACCTATGTTCAGATAAGTAGATAGACATGTTGATTCCCTTTCAAGGTAGGGATGTGTGTGTGTGTTTTATGTATGTGTGTGCATTAGCCCACATATTTGCATGTATGTAATGTATATCTGTGTACATATCTCCAAGTATTAGTACATTATGTAAGGATTACATTTTACATTTAGTAGTCTACATTGTTGAAATAACTATTAATAAAACTCCATGGAACCTTTACTTATGAAAGTAAACTTTTCATTCTTTATTCCCACTTACATCAGTTTAGAATGCCATGGAACTTTTAGACATAGTTTCATATTTAAAATTGAAGATGCATTTCAATCACAATTTTATAGTATTTTAGCTGTTAACATTTGTTTTTTTTTTTTTTTTTTGGTTTTTTATGAGACAGGGTTTCTCTGTATTGTTTTGGAGGCTGTCGGTCCAGCCCAGCCTCGAACTCACAGAGATCCGCCTGCCTCAGCCTCCCGAGTGCTGGGATTAAAGGCGTGCGCCACCACCGCCCGGCAGCTGTTAACATTTGTATGTGAATGGCATGTTTGATTCTCAGTACGTACTACAGTGCACCAAGCCTTTTTAAAAAGGTCTGTTTATTCATGTACATTTCATGTTTACCCCTCATCCTACTCTGTAGATATTTTCCTCATTTATAGGTGGTTTAGCTCACATTAATTTTTTTTTTTTTTTTGGTTTTTACGAGACAGGGTTTCTCTGTATTGTTTTGGAGGCTGTCCATCCAGCCCAGCCTCAAACTCACAGAGATCTGCCTGCCTCTGCCTCCCGAGTGCTGGGATTAAAGGCGTGCGCCACCACTGCCCAGTCAGCTCACATTAATTTATAGTTAGCAATTAATGTAGTTGAGATTGAAATGTAGCTGTGGCTTGTTTTTGTTTTTGTTTGTTTGTTTCATGAGTCAGGGTCTTGCTGTGTGGTCCTGGATAGCTAGGTACTCTCCACGTACCCCAGGCTGACCTGGAACTTGAAGCAATCTTCGTATCTCAGCCTCCTGAGTCCTTGGAATACATCACTGCCATGTTCAGCCAAAATCCATGCTTTTAGCCACAAGTCTGTAAATAAAATTTCACATGGAGTTTCACAATTATGAATAGTTAATAATATTTGCTGTGAAGTTGGGGGCTTAGTAACTTGAGTTTGTAGTCCACTGATTTCAAATACCAAACTCTTTCTGGTTTTGTCTTATGCAGAGAACCTCGGGATTTTAAAAGACTACCCTCACTCTGCTTTTACCTTGGAAAAGAAAGTTATTAAAACAGAGCCTGAAGACTCAAGATAGCCTAGATTCTCCCACTGTCTCTGAAAATGGCACCAGATTCAAGGATAATGCTCCATCATAGAATAAGCCTTAATAACCAGTGTTGCCTCATTCTGCTCAAACAGACCATAGCCAAAGCATAAGAACTCACAGTAGTCTGTGGAAACCAGGACAAAGCAACAGCCACAGAAGAAGAAATCGAGAGAGTGCTGCAATGTAACAAACACTGACCATTACCTTCCTGTGTAAGTTGTTTGTATGGAAAGGCTCAATATTGTAGGCATTCACTATTTAAGAATGTACAATGTGTCTGTGTAATTTATAGAAGCAAATCTAGGTGTTAAGACCTTTTGGTCTAATAGATGTGGAGACCATTCTTTTTACTTGAAATTTTGTTGTCTACTTTAAGTGTATTTACGGTAAATGTTACTCATCAACATTTAGGACTTTTGAGTCGTAAAAAGAAAGCTTAGCAATGTAGTTATTGGCAAGGTGACAGTGGCTGGAGAGAAATGGAAGGCAAATACTCAGTTTACACCAAGGAAAAGACTGTGTACTTAATACTTGATTAAAATTGATTTTGGTTAATAGGAAATGTGTAGCCGTCACTAAATAATGCCGCTTTCATTGGTTTAATCCATGCACGAATTAAAAATTGGAATAATATTTCCGAGATGAGGTAGGCTACATTTATGACAGCTGCTCAAGATGTGAGACAGAAGACTTGAAGTAAGCAGGCTAACGTGTAAGAGCCTTGACTTAAACATTGGTATTTCAGAGGATGTCAAGTAAATTAAGGCAGAGTAAATTAACCCTGAATGTTTAAGATAAAGATGCCGTGGGAGAATTGACATGGAGGCTGTGTTTTGTTTTTAGTCCTGCTTTGAATCATGGCTGTAATAAATATCGGTTCCTAGTCTGTTCTGTGAGATGTCCGCCCCTCGGTCTCTAATCACTGCTCTGTGGTCACTTTTCCTTCTGACGAGGAGAAGAGCGCTACAGTAGAAACACCAATAAGCTTTTCTACCACTGAAAGGCGTTTTCCCCTTCCTGAATGGCGTCTGCCCACTGGAGAAGTGTCTCATGGACCTTGGCCTCTGCAGATCTTGATGCTGACTATTGTGGTTTCACAGTCCACTGTGTATAGAGCTAGTGTGGCGCCATTTGCATAGAACATTCAGTTTTGGATTGGCCACAGCACTGGTTAGTGTCCCCCTACTTTCACCAACTGTTTCCTGTATTCTGTAATCTATTTTGAGAAAATTGTGTGGTCCTTTTTTTAAAAACTGTGTCTTACAATTCAAGTTTGTAGATTTTAACATGCAAGTTCTAAAAGATGCAGTAATCTTGCCCCTGGTGTTTGTCTGTCCCTCCCGGACCTAGAACCTGCATCTTTAAATCTAGAAGTAAGTTTCCTTAAGTAGCATACTATTCTGACTTTCAAGCTTAGAGATAAAGAAGCACAAAAAAAGTCAGTAGAATACAGTTTTTATTTTGTAAACACTAATGTATTAAAACTTGCTATACATTAAAGCAAATAATATATATTTTTATTTGGATGGTGTATATAAATTGGATGTTATAACTAGTAAATTTTCTTTCATTTTGTTTAAGATATTTTCACTGAACAAGGTCAATTGGTTACCTCAGTGTTACAGCCAATATAATCCAAGGGGCCATTTCTCCCCACGTCTGTGTTATTCTTTATTGTGTGGCTTCTACATTCTTGTGATTCTTAGTACTGTTGAGGAGATGAGTGCACTTGCTTCCTGTGGCAATAAAGAGTTCCTGTGCCTCGTGGATCAATGCTTAGAGCATTCCCACAGCTGTGACGCTTGCCCACTCGCCTCCCTCACAGCGTGTCAGGGGACAGGGTGACATGAGGGCTGAACACAGCGGCCTCGCCATGGATCAGGGCTCTACTACTGAGTGACAGCCCCAGCACTCCTTTTACATTTTTATTCTGAGACAGGGTTATTGTCTTGCCCGAGCTGACCTTGAATTCACTCTGGACCAGAGAGGTTGCGGTCTCCTTGGGGGCCTTTGCTAGTGTGTGATCCACACATTACACACCTCAAATGGCCAAGTGCTGTTGGCACAGCACCATTTTGTTTGTGAGTTTGTTGCTGCTCTGAATCTTGAAAAGAAAGCCAAACAGGTTGTCACCACAGTGAGCAGGAGCCGGTATTGGTCTCTTGTAGGACGTGAGGAAATACGGTAGCAAATATTTCATTAAAACCCATTTCTGATGCGGCAGTGTCCAAGTGTTGCTCCAGGAGATACAAGCCTGCTTACTTGCTGTTAACTGTGGCCATCCTCACAAGTGAGGTTCTCCAGTGGACTTCAAGTTAACAAAGTGTCCTGGCATTGCTATTGAAAACACAGATTAATCTCAAAACCGTGATGATAGCTATTTCCATAGTGACCCTGGAAAACAAACTTTTGTGATACCTAAGTGATCAAAAGCCAACACTGGTGGTAGCATTTTTGTTTCTGAATGTGTGATGGCCAAATCTTCAAAACTTCCATGGTTTCTGGTTCTACTGACTTTTGAAAATGAAGAAAAGCAATCACTGTTTCTTAGGCAGAAAACGTGCATCAGAGGTTTAAATTCTTAATTTTTTTTAAGTTTTACATTCTGTTTACAGATGCTCTGCTGTCTGTTTAGCAAATTTTTACCATGGTTTTTAAAAGAATGACAAATAGGAGCTGGCTTTATTGTAAATTTGTTAGGCCACATAATCCTTGGCCACTGCAATAGTGTCCTTTTGAATTCTGGCCCCCTGCAAGTCTGATTCTCTGATTGTGCTTCTGATAGCTCCACCTATGTCCAAGTGTCACCATAAAGACAATAAGGGCCCAGTTTCTGCCAAAGAAAATGTTTTAATGTATTAGTAGTAATGCAGTATGACCTTCAAAAAAGAAACATTTGAAATAATCCACAAAACACTAATCTTAGGGTTTTTCTCAGCATTCATGTAAAATATTGGCTACTATTATTTTTCCTTTTTTAATTTTAAAATATTTGATTGGGCCAGTGTAATGCCAGCCTTCAGTCAGTCCCTGCAGGTTGAGGGGGGATCACTGTGAGTTTGAGATTGGCATACACAGGAAGACTGTCTCAAAAGGAAAAACATTAATTAGTAAATAAAAATTGTATATATTCAAGTGTACAGAATGATCATCTAATTTTTTTGAAAATGTGCCTCTTGTGTGTGCATATGATGTGAGTGACATAGGTGCCATGGCACATGTACACGTGGGGAATTGTGTGTGTGTGTGGGAGTGACATAGGTGCCGTGTACACGTGGGGAATTGTGTGTGTGTGTGTGTCTATGTGTCTGTGACATAGGTGCCGTGTGCATGTGGGGCACAGGACAGCTTGGTGGAGCTGGCTTTCCTCTTGGCACGGGATTGAACCCAGGTGGCTAGGCTTGTGTGACACCTTTACTATGAGCCACCTCAACAGCCCTGCTCATTTAATTTCTGTATACAGTACATGCTGATTACCACAGACAAATCAAGACACCTCAGTGGGAAAGTGCCCCTGATTGTGTGTGTGACTGTCACCACTTTCAGGCAGTTTCCTTGCCTTTGCTAAACTTTTACTAGGGTGTTTTTGAACTGTTCATTCAACATTGCAGCACAAAACAATTTTACATTGATAGAAATTGAGAAAGACATATAATTTTAGACCCCAGAACTTTAATCCATTTTTTTTTTTTTGTGGTCCTAGAGTTGAACCTAGAGCCTCTTGCATCCAAGGTCAGCACTGTCACCAAGCTATGTCTTAGTCCATTTTCTAATCTTTATAATTGCCATCTATTTAAGTTTCTCATGCTAGCTCCAAAGAATCAGCTTGCTTCTTCAGAACCCCACAGAAGTGTTCTTAGTGGATGCTGCTGCCAGGGCCTGATGCTGTGGTCAGGGCTTCATGATGACACTGGCAGGCTGCGCCTAATGCTTCAAACTGCAGGCAAGTATGTAACGTCGGCTCAAGATGGAAATGCTACGAGGCTAAAAAGGACCTGAGAGGCTTTCTTCTCCATCAACTTCAGAGTGTCAAATTTTGAAGTTTGCTGGTAGTCCAAACAATTTTGTACTCAACCCACAGGGCTTGCTGTGGGTGAGAACCCATGACATTATAAATTAGACGGTGCTTCATATTTACACATTCTGAAACCTTATGAGTCATCTTTGTATTAAGAGTTTTCACCTCATAAATTTATGTCTAAAGGGCCGTGTTTAGCACCCACACAGCATCATGGGCCATGCTCTTGTAACTGTCTTAGGCATTATCTTGCCGGTCACTGAGGCTTCAGTGTGTAGGAAGATGCTAAGTAGTGCCTGTGTGGGCGGAGTCCTGCCAGGAACCAGCTCAGCAGAGGCAGTTGGTGATTTTCTAGGCTGACTGCTGTCGTCACCTGTTATCTGTGGTCTAGCACTGGACTCGCCCTTGTCCTCCCCAGACAAAGGGGCTTCTTTGTGAAGATGCCCTTACACAAAGGTCTGCTGCATCTCACCATCTTGGTTTTTATTTCCCTCCAACGTCTGTGCCTTCTCTCGGCTCCTGACTCATGCAGCGTGATGCTGATAAAGCCATCCTTGCCCTTCCAGCCAGTCTTTCTGTTGCCAGACACATCTGTGTATTCATTGTACTGGTTCAGCTTGTGTCTGTATGTGTGTGTGCATATGGGTTCATCAGCTAACTCAGGTTCTTTGATTTGACTGATAAAATACAAGGTAGTGTGTATGGTGACACTGGGCTTTCATAGCAACAGCTAAGCCCTTAATTCCAATTCTTAGGGTAGTCTATGGCAGTTTCCATTTAACACTAAAGGTGAAGTAAATAGAGATCACCTCATTTTTTCAAATAAATCCTTATACTGCAATGTTTTAAATGGGAAAGGGGTTTCCTTCTATGAGATTAATGTGTGTGTGATAGTTTACAAGGGAAAAAAGTCATTTTTTCCTTAGGTCCCATATTAAAAGACAAGACTAGTCCTGCTTAATGAGGCAGATGAACTAGAACATGTTAATCTTCTTAGACTAGTCCTAATTGCAACCCTGGGGTGTCACAAGTCCACAGTTTCCCGGCACAGGGCCAAGAGCTTTACATTTAATCTGCAATCTCTGTAGGCAAGTGTTGCCACCCTAACTATGCAGATGAGAGGCCACACCCCTAAGATGTAGTAATGGTTGCTACACACCTGTCCACACCATAGCAGATATCCTTAAGCCCAGGAGCATGAACACTGCTTAGTAAACACATTAGTACTCACGTATGAAGAAACACCAGCCATGGATAGGATGATCATGTTGATAACGGTGTGAACAAGGGAACGAAGTGCCAAGATTGCAGCAGAGGCTCCCTGAAGGAAACCGACACACTGAATTGCCAAGGCTGAAAGCCAGAAGCAAAATGCACCAACTGTGTTGGAACTGAACCACCAAGGTGGGGTGTGAAACAGGCACAGGCACGTACTCACAGGGACGAGGTGGAGAGTCTCAGATTGGAGATGAAACATCAAGGTCAGTGCCGCCTGAATCCAACCCCTAAAAACTGCACATGGATTTATTTGAGAAGCAATCAGAGCATTTTAAGAAAAGAAGCGAAACAGTACAAAAAAAAAAGGAAATATCCCAAAATAATACAAACTCGATGCCTGAGTGTACCAAGAAGCTCCACAGGGTTTGACTGGGCCTCTGGCTCAGGCAAGAAGTATCAGGGTGCTGTTGGAGTTGTACAACCACAGCTCAAACTGAATGTACCGAGTAAGGAGTAAAGGACGTGCGGCCAGTTGACAATTCGTTCAGCAAACATTTGTTAAGACATTTGCCTAAAGACATCTAGGCACACACTAGGTTAGGAAGTAAAGACGCCTTCAGGGACACCTCCATCTAGGAGGAGTGACTTAAATGTCTAGCTTGTGCTGGGCGGTGGTGGCGCATGCCTTTAATCCCAGCACTCGGGAGGCAAAGGCAGGCGAATCTCTATGTATCGCAAAAACAATACAGAGAAACCTTGTCTCGTAAAAAAACAAACAAAAAAAATGTCTAGCTTGTGACCCTTGGAAACAGAGAGGCTTGCCAAAGGGAAATTTATGAAGGAGAGTTTGTTACTCAGTATTTTGGGATTGTTCTGGAGTTGTCGGTATATGTGAGAAGAGCTACCCTGAAGGCATCAAATAATGGAATAGGCTGGAAATAGGAGTGTTCGCTTAGCATAGGTGAGGCCCTAGATCCAATTTCTAGCATTGGTGATAGGAGATTGGAAAAGAAAAGACAAAGTCAGTGTAAGTTCTAACCTAGAGTTAAGGACTTGATCTGAGTTTGACCCTAAAACGTATGTAAAAAGCCAGACATGGTGGCTCATGCTTGTAGCCCACTTGGTGGCTAGTGAGAGACCCTATCTCAAAAAAAAAAAAAAAGAAAGAAAAAAGAAAAAAAGTAACGTGTAGGAATAACAACACAGGATGTTGCCTTCCAGTCCACACACACACACACACACACACACACACACACACACACACGTGCACGTGTGCATGCTCAGAGAACCCTGTGATTAGTGGTTGAGGTGTGTTTTGTGTGTGTTCTATATGGAATGTGAGGGAAGCCAGGTTCAAAAGAGGCAGTGAGTTAGCTCTATTTCAGACTTTGGTTCATTGTAACCTCGTTTGCATCTGTAAATTACAACGGGGAAGAGTTAATTTTACTGCCCTGAACTCTGTTCTCCTTTCCTGCCCCCAGTGAGAAGTTTTTACAAAAAAAGCGTTTACATAAAGCTTACAAGGTTAACATCATACAGTTGTGGCCTAAATAATCCAGTTTGCAATCTGGTACTGGCATCCTCATGTTAGAAGAGGAAAAACTACCAATTCCAGAACTCACTGATACTGAGAGAAGGAATTAATTTTCATGCCGTGTGTTGCTCCTGTCCTGGTTACTTTCTGTAATGAGGGAAACACAGACTGCTTAACCATGTAGGTTGCTCCTCCAGCCCCTCCTCCTACCTGCTGGCCAGTGTGAGTGCACCTGTGTCCTTCATTTGCAGAGCTGAGAAGAAGCAGTAGGTAACTTGAGATAACTTCAAGCCCAAATGGAAATATCATTTCTTATTGGTTACACTCATTGAGGGTCTTTAAGATGAAAAATTAATATATATGTTTTTAAATTCAAATTCAGGCCAGGTATAGTGGCCCACACCTTTAATCCCAGTGCTTGGGAGGCAGAGGCAGACGAATCTCTATGAGATCAATGCTAGCCTGGTCTAAATAGTTCCAGGACAACCAGAGTTAGACAGCGAGACCCTGTCTTGAAAAACAACAACAAAAATAAAAACCTCAAAGGCTCCTCAAGTACAAGAAACCATTGTCTAAGCTTTTCAGGAACACCCAATAAGAACAAGAAAAGGAGTGACTCTAGGACCAGAAATTTTTATAATCGAATACAGAAAGCATCATGAAAAATCCTGGGAATAAGCAAGAATTACAAACTATACCCAGTGCACAGGCATGTTCTTTGACTTGATTCATGGAAAATGGGAAACACTGGAGGTCATCTTGGCCATCTTCCAGAGCAGTGGAACTAAGCTCTGTTTGGAACATACTGAATGACCAGTCATCTTAGAGCTAGTTAGGATTGTTTAGAAACAAAAGCCTGGTGCTCAGATCAAACAATTCTTATCCTTGTTGTGAGCCATCTGTGTTTTAGAAGAGCATTTGAAGCCATGGCATCTAATGAGAATACGGGCAATGAAGAAGGTGGGTATGGATAAAACTTGGAAATCCTAGCTCATATGGGGGTAGAATGACAATAGGCATCAGAGAACGAAGAAGCCAGGTGAGAGGACAACTAAGGAGCGGGGCATTCTGGGAGCCGTGCAGGAAGAAGCCACAGAATGAAGGCCATCAGTAATATGAGTCAAGTAGGATGAATTGACTTAAGGAGGTCTATATAAAAATCTGGAGAGTGGTACCTATCAGAATAATTGGGAAGAATAAATATTGGAATTGCTTAATGTAATATACTCAAGTAAAAATTACAACTTTGATAAAAAGTAAACTATAAACCTTGGTGATGGGCTCCATATAAGGTATCTTTTCATATCTGAGAGTTATTGATTCTCTGATAATATCCTGCCTGGCTTCAAATCTGTGATAAAGCACCCTGA